CAATTCACAGCGCTTAACAGAGCACGTACCCTCCCCAGTGTCTATCACCCAGTCACCCCATCCCTCCCACCCCACCCCCCACTCCAACAACACTCAGTTTGTTTCCTGCAATTAAGAATTCCTCATATCAATGAGATCATATGATACATGTCTTTCTCTGTTTGACTTATTTCCAGAGTTAAGCTTCTTGACATTTTTCTTCTTTCTTGGTGGAAATCTCTTCTATCTGATCTATTTTATTTGCCTAGAGAGGCAAGTTTAGATGAGGGTTTCTGTTTTCTATATCAAATGCTAATCACTTCCTTGCAGAGAGTTGGTCACGGAGACGGAGGTCTCTCCTTGGCCTGTCATACAGCCTGCAGCACCCTCGCTCGGCTCAGTCCTGCGAAGGAGCAGGCGTGAAGCTATTTAAATTTTTACAGCAGCAAACTTGCTGCTTCCATAAGATGCATCATGAATACTAAGCATATGGAAGCTATATACATATCTTTGGATAAAGGGATTATGTTGAGGCTTCTTGATAGTTGTTAATGGTTATAACCTACATTAATTTTCACTTTCTCTGGTTTCCACTGGGCTTGTTAGATTTTGTTCCTTTAATAAACTTGGGGAGTAACCACCTCTCAGTGCTCTATTTGGCATATTCGAAGGGTACCTCCTACGACCTTTAAAGCAATGTGCCCAGGGGCTAGCCTGTTGACCGCTATTCCAGGTTACTCCCTCCTGCATATTCTGTTCTCTGTCTTCCTGAAGGGGAGACACATTCAGGGTGATGCTGTTCCGCTTCTCCATCCGTGTGCGCTGTAGACTTGTACTTCTCTGTGTGGCACTCTGGGAATTTGAGCCAGCAGAGGGAGCACAAGACACTATTTTTGTACACGTCCAAGGAGTGGACGCAGGCTCTCTGTCCACAGTCTCCAAACTGACAGGTTCCGGAAGGAGTGTAAGAGCAAAGTGTATTGTTCTGAGTAGATGCTGTCTATCAGATTTTGTTTTTCTTAAATCTTAAGGTCCGAGTTGGAATCCTAATCACTTTACATTGTCTAAAGGTTTTTAAAAGGTTGGGGCTGAGGCAGGGCCGGGGATGGGGGGCGCAGGTGGGAACAACCTCGTTCATTACCTGTAACTTTTCACTCTTCACAGTTGGCTCTGCAAAGCTTTGACACTGTCCAGAAACTGCTTAAGGTAAGGTCAGCCGTGACTTCAGTTTTATCTTTGTTTTCCTTGACTTTTTGAGAAAAGACAAGTCTACCAGTCTTAGCGTCGTCTTCAAAAGGGAATTATTTCAGTTTTTCTGGATTCCCTGGGTTTCTCTGCTCTGCCCAGGTATAATTTGTAGGATTTTACTGATCTAGACTTTACTAACTGCTGATTTCTAGCTTAGCTGACTAGTGTTTCCTGTTGCTTATAGTCCTGTACTTTGTTCACCATGGTCCCTGGCAAGCCACACGTGGAGACTCACAGGGACAACCACGAAGTGATCACATGGAAAGCTATGGGAAAGCCACACGTCGGGTTTAAGAAAGAAGCGAGAGAGGGCTTCAGAGCCAAAGCCTGCCAGCCTACCAAATTAGATCGAGAATTGATCTGTCTTTCTTTTGTCAGGGGTGGGGAGTAAGGAAGGTTTGTGCTTGGGTTTTATTGTACCCAGAAAGGTAAAAGGCAGTAGACTTAGGGAAATGTGTTTTCAACTCAGGCTCCATGGGGAAAGGCAGAGAAGCTACGGGAATCATTTAGAAAGCTCCCATTTCTCTCGCTGTGCTAGAAGCTGTAGAGCTGTGATTTAAGTGACTGCGGCTAGTATCCATAGCAGGGGTGATGTCTAGGAATTGTGTCTGCACAGTCACCCCTCCTACAATGAGAAGCCTGGGTCTTCCCTTCCAGCTTCTCTAAGGAAAAAGAATTTGGAATCAGTCTCTGTGTCTTCAGTAAAGGGGGCTTTGATGGGGCACCTGGGTGGCTCAGTTCATTAAGTGTCTGCCTTTGGCTCAGGTCATGATCCCAGGGTCCTGGGATTGAGCCCCGCATCAGGTTCCCTGCTCCGCGGGGAGTCTGCTTCTCCCTCTCCCATTCCCTGCCCCCCACCTTGTGCTTTCTGGCTCTCTCTGTCAAATAAATAAATCCAGTCTTTAAAAGGGGGGGGGCTTTGCACTCATTTTTGTCTGATATCATTCTGTAGCCATTTACCTGGATTGTGCCTGGAGTGTTGATGGGAGGAGAGAGAAGGAAATCAGAAAAGGCCAGGTATGGGGACCTTTGTTTGTTATCCATTCCTGTTTGGATCTGTCTGTTCTGCCTTCCTATTCAATCAGATTTGGTCCTTCTAAACCTGGAGAGAGCGTTATCTCAAACTGTGCTTCAGAGTCCCAGAGCGTAGGGACAGATTGAGGCAGCAGGGAGCGGTCACCTCTTGACGGTGTTGTCTTAAGAAATACTGATGAACCTACAAGGGGTTCCCTTCTGATGTGGTTGGTAGTGATGCTCACTATCCTCTTAAGTTCTGCCCCCCACCCCAGCATCCCTTAGTCCCCCTTGTTTGGTGTCCATCCCTCTTGGCAGTTCTCTTTTGTCTACAGTGGGAGTTTAGGGTCTGGTTGTTTGTCTGTACAAAAACAAGATCACAAACTTACATAATGCTCTAAACTCTGCTTTTTATATCCCGAACACTGATTCCTAGTTGGTATTAGAAGTGGTAATGGGGGTCAGGAGAAAATGTTGCAACAGGTAAATCCCAAATTGTCTGTATGCTTTTTGAAACATTTGTATTGTATTGTGTCTTAATGCTCAGTAGTAACACCCAGTCCCGTGTGTAGTTTGTAATCAGGAGTAAATATTAAACTTGAAACCTAAAAGTATTGGTTAGATTTGATTAAGCTATAAATAACAACAACAAACAACAGTGGAACAAACATATGGCAGTTTTCTTTTTCTTTCACATTTAAGAAGCCTGACGGTAGCCCATCCCAGGCTGGCATGGTGCTCTGGTATCAGGATCTAAGTCCCTTCTATCTTTTTGTACCACTAAGTGAGGCTTCCATTTTTAAGGGTACTCCATATTCTTAGGGAGTTGTTGGAGCTCCAGCCATTACATCTTGTTCCCTGCCAGGAGGAACAAAGATCATCATATGTCCTCCCTCCAGAGATACTTCTGGCTTTTGCATATTCCCTTTGTCCTTCTATCCCATGCTTGAACATAGGCACACGACCATACTTAACTTCAAAAGAGACTGGAAAATATACTCAGCTAAAAATTGGAAGCTTTAATTGCTATGGAAATACAGGATAAAGGATGTTTGGGAGTAAGAACTGAGATTTATTCTCCCTAGTCTACAGGACAAAGCTGGGCCCGCATTGTATGGACGTTACAAAAAAGATTCGGTATAAGAAAACATTCTAGCCGTTAGATCACATTTGTGTGGGATAACTCATTTAGGTTGGAGGTTCCCTGGCACAGAAACCTTCAAGAACAGGCTAGATGACCATCTATCTGGAATGTTCTAGAAAGAAAGGATCCATGGATCAGATAAAGGGCATTGGATTATATAGTAAAGATTCATTTCAAATTTAAGATTTTATGAATTTAATATAATTTTGGGTCTTAATAATCACATTCTATATGAAAGAAACTTTGGAGGAAAATGGAAACTCACATACATCTTTGTATCATTTGTCATCGTGTTTGTCATGGCTTCACGCTGTGCATGTTGGTACTAGACATGAATCTGTCTCCTGTGCCTATTTTTGGTGTTTTCTATTGATATAGGCCCATTCGATTTATTTTCTTTTATGATACATAATTTTAAACAGACTCCGCAAAGGAATAAATATCCTTATCTCAACTCCTGGGCGACTGGTGGACCATATAAAATCCACAAAGAACATTCATTTTCGTCGGATACGGTGGCTCATTTTGGATGAAGCAGACAGGTGAGCCTCACCCAGAAGCATGAAAAGTAGCAGAAAAGAGCTGCTTCTGCTGGCTCATTGCAGTCTTTACTTTGCATGTGGAGTAAAATTCCCTCTCTTGAAACCACAGAATCTTGGATTTGGGTTTTGAAAAGGATATCACAGTGATACTCAACGCTATAAATGCTGAGTGCCAGAAACGACAGAACGTCTTGCTGTCGGCGACACTCACGGAAGGTGAGTTGAAGAGGAGTGCTCTTTGTTCTTAACCAGGAGGGAAGACGTAGACGTAACGGCTGTCATTTGTCCGCAGTGGTTCTCAGCGCTGGGGGCAGAAGCTGAGGAGGCAGGTGTCCCTAAAGCACTGCCTTTTCAGACTCCTGTCTTGCCTCCCTCTTCTAGTCACATCAGGCTCCCCCGTGCTCCCCAGGGTGTGGGAGGGAGGGCAGGGCAGATCCAGAGCCACCTCAGTTAGGAGAGTGCTTCCGGTGCTCGTGGCAGGGCGAGAGGAAGAGAAGAGGCTGACTCCCGTCCATCCAGAGGTTTCATGAGATTTTTTTGTGGGTGTTATCAGCCTACCTTTCTCTTAAAGAGCATTGACCCTTAAACAGAGACCTAAGTTCATTTCTGTCTTTCCATCTTCATGAGATGGACATTCTGAGCTCTCTTTCATAGATGGGGCACTGAGGCTTGGCAGAGTCACTCTCTCAACACAACCCAGCTCGCGTGTTCTCAGGTCTGGTTTACACGTTTTACTGGCCCTTTGACAGTATGCACATAACCAGTTCTTAAAATGTATCCTAAGTAACATTAATTTTGAGAGATAATCCATGATTCTGTGCTCAGAAGTTTGGGGAATGCCACACGTTTCCTCCTGCTCTTAGAAATTCCTGGTGTGTGTCAACACAATAAAGGTTCTGAGAAGGCCTGTAAACCTATAAAACCCTATGACAGAATTCTGTGACACCCTTTTATCAGTAGATAGAACTGTAGAACCCTTGCGGGGTGGGGCGGGGTGGGGGAGACAACTGTTAGTGTCCCTTTCAGTGGTCTTGCCCAGGTCAGAGTTGAGAAATGCTGGTGTGGAATCAGTGGGCCGCCTCCACCAGATCGAGCACAGGGCAGGCCCTTGCGGCCCTGGTGTTGCCCATAGGGAGCCTCTTCATCAGCCTGGACGTGTGGCGGGGGGAGTGCGCGTACGAGACTAGCCTCACGGTGTGCACCCCTCACCTGTTTTGCCTCTTTCACTTTCGCTCCAAGGTGTGACACGGCTAGCTGATATCAGCTTGCTCAATCCGCTCAGGATTTCTGTCCTGGATGGACACCGTGGCAAGTCGGACCCAAAGGGCAGAGCAGTTCCTGAGGCCTCCCCTCTCCCAGCTGGTGGTGAGCCGGACAGCTTTGCGATTCCGGAGAGTCTCGATCAGCATGTGACACTGGTTCCCAGCAAACTGAGGCTCGTCTCCCTGGCGGCCTTCATCCTACAGCAGTGCAAGGTGGGCCCGCACGCGAGGCCCGGCTCAGTCGAGGGAAGAAGGTCCCGTTTTGTTTGTGTCAGGTGTTGATAGCAGCGAACTGAGGGACCCTCACTTGCACACACGCACAAAAGTTTTCCAACTAAACCGTGTTCGCGAACGCAGACCTTACCAGTCAGCGGTTTCAGGGTTGTGGTAAAGAACCAGAGGTCAGGGATAGCTGCCACGTTTGACATGAAATCTGCCCTAATCCTCTTCTGGGCCTGAGAACCAGGAGCATCACAGGTAGCAGAAACATCTGAATGTGAGCAGACAGAGGGGCCCGGGCTCGTGGTTTTGAAAGAATCCCAGTATTTCTGTGTTTACAAGATCGCGTGCTAACTTTCCGTGGTATGTGGGAGAGTAGTGGGTGCGAGGGCTGGAGGGTGAACCTCACGTCTGCTGCGCGCGGCGAGCGCTGGATGTGTGCAGAGAAGAGGAGTGCACAGCCCCAGCCTACGGCGTGTTTGTCTGTCTCAGGTTTGGGAAACCCGGTCAAAGTTACAGCTCTACCATTTTCCTCTCATCTCCTCTTTGTAGCATGTTGTATCAAGGTTATTTTTGTAAAATCATTCAAAGCTGTCTGTCCCCGTTTCCAGATGGGGCTGGCAGGACGGTGTATTTTAGAGAAATACTCATTTTAGTGTCACCTGATCATAAAAACGTGGTGGTTCTTTCCCCCTTTGTACCAATGTAGTTTGAAAAAGACCAGAAGATGATCGTCTTTTTCTCGAGTTGTGAGCTGGTGGAGTTCCACTACCACCTCTTCCTACAGACCCTGCAGAGCCGCTCCGGGGCCCCAGCGTCAGGGCAGCTGCCATCTGCCTCCACGTCATTAAAATTCCTGCGGCTGCACGGCAACATGGAGCAGGAGGTGAGCACCGCGCCGTCCCCAGGAGTGGAGGCAGGCGCGAGTCCTCCGGGGTCAGCGTGGCCTTCCCTCTCGGATCCCACTGGGCTGGGTGGGAACGCGCCCCAGGCGGGCGACCTGCCGGCCCTGGAAGCAGACCCCATGGCTGCGTCGGTGGCGTGGGCAAGGGCGTCTATTGTTTCTGTGCGCTCTTGCTCTGGGAGCTGCCCTCTTCCACCTGAGAGAGCTCACAGGCCCGTCTTGGCCCGAGTCTGCCTCAACCAGCTGTTAAGGCAACAGAGTACCACTAAGTAGCTGGCACCAGGGAAGGGTTTTGCCTTTTTAGTACCCAGTGTGTAATTAGGGCTTGATGTCTTCAAATTAAGAGCATTAATGGAGCTAAATTGTGGATCCCATATGGTACTGCTGAGCGCGACTGCTGTCATTGTCAACAAGATACAGCGCTTTCACTCTTAACACCTTGGTTGGGAGAGGGGCTTCAGGGTCTCAGCTCTCTCTCGGTTCTGAGTTATACTGTTGTTCTGGAAGAAGAGAAGAACGTCTCCCTGATTTTAGATTCTGAGCCGCATGGCCCTCATTCCGTTGAGGGGGTCGGCGGAGAGCAGACTGAGGGGAGCGCGCTGGCGTGGAAGGAGGACGAGCGGGCCCTGCAAGGGGGAGCCATGTTGCCCTAGAAGGAGGTGACCATGCGCGCAAGATGGTTAGGGAGAGACGACCAGGAATCGGAGCAAGACTTGAAATACACAACATCTTTAAAGCTGAAGGAGACATTAAAGTCATCAAGTCCAGCCCCCTTCTTGTGCCCGCTTTTGTCGTTTTAATAATTAAGAATGTGGAGCCTCAGAAAAGGGAGCTTGCTCAAGGTCACTCAAGGACATAGCTTCTTATTTACCACAAGATTGGATAGAATTTCCTGAGTAGTCCAGCCTTTGTGCTTGGTTTTCAACTTCAAGGTCCCTGATTCAGTTGAGTTTGTGGATTTCATAATTTATTGCCATTTACAGCGTTTGTTCCTCACCTCTCGGTCTTTTTCACCCGAGGCCTTCTGCAGGGCGGGCAGGAGGGTGACGAGGGAGCTGGACACGGGCCCGGGAGGATCTAGGAATTTGAAGAGGCCATGTAAAAGCTTTGTAGTGAAATTATTTCAAACCGTTTGCCTCACGTTTGAAGGGCAGTGGTCCAGCAGGGCGCTCACGGCTGTATGCTCTGGTCCTGCCTCTGCCTTTACCAGCTGTGTGACCTCCGGAGAGCGTGTCACCTTCCCGTGCCCCAGTTAGCCCGTCTCTCAAAGGGAGGGGATACTAGTACGTACTTCACAGGTGGGTGTGGTGAGGCCCTGAGTGAACGCAGAGTACCTGCTCAGCGTAGGACCTGGTTCGTGCGTGCTCTGTGGATGAAGGTGCCGTTGCTGCTGCTGTTCTCGCTCTTTCCCGAACGGTCGGTCTGCCACTTACGTTGTTCTGTTTGTTAAGTGTTTCGCCTTCGTGGCCTTCTCATGAGATGGGTAGAAGATGGGAGGCAGTGCCTCTAGATACCGCTCTACTGGCGTTCTCGTCCCACGCTGAGCTAAAACCAGCCCAGTCCCATCTGTTGGCCGCTGCTCCGTGTGACCTTAGCATGGTCTCCCTGGTGGTTGACGTGGCCCTGACCACGTTTGTGAGTGTTAGGGAGCAGTTGCCGTTTGAAGAAGTTACTGCCTGATCGCTGTGAGGAACTCCCGGGTTTGGCAGTTTTTTCCTTACCCCAAATCTGAATACGTTGCGTCCAGTCCACAGGCCATCTCACGGGCTTTTATGAACTTCCCTGATTTTTTTTCTAATTTTCACTCTACAATGTATCCATTAAACATGACCCTTCTAAAGACCGTGAAGCACTCTGGGCAAGTGCAGCTGTCCTCCTCGGGGCCCGGCCACCGGCTCTGGCACACAGCTCCCTGGCTACAGGTGCCAGTCCGATCCTCTGCTGGGTGCATGTCCCTTGGGCAAGAAGTGACTTCACCTTTCTGTGCCTCAGTTCCTCCACCTGGAAATGGGGGTGGTGATAGTACTGCTCATGGGGTTTTGTGCGGATGAGACGGAGTTCAGGCCCACAGAGCATAGGCCGTGCGTGCTGGTTGTCATTACCCACCATGCCCAGTGAGCTGTGCCTGGGGCTTCCAGTCACGTGACCAAGGAGATGCACGGGAAGGACCAGAACGAGGTACACCCCAGTGGCGTGATGGCTGTGCCCGAGCAGAAGGAGAGACGTCACTTTTTCCTTTTTTCCACATTTTTCGTGGTTTGGTGGTATTCCTTTTTCTGTTGCTGACAGACAGACACGGCCAAGTCTGAGCTGCTCACCGTGCGGTGACTTGGGCCACGTTGAGCGTGCCCTTGGCAGGCCTTTCGAGTGGACACACCCTGTGGTACAGCAAGACTGCATTTAGGGTTTTACCCCAAGGGAGTGATGAAACACGTGTACAACAGATTATCTGTGAAGGTGTTGATTCCAGCATTGGGCGTAATAGCAAACAATCGGAGACAACCACGCATCACGTGCCCATCACGGAGCATCGACTGAGCTGAACGCAGATTTGTTGGCATGAAAAGACCTTCATATCCTGTTGGTACACGAGCATGTTAGTAGTAGAAGTAGAGTACTGCCATTCCTTAAGAAGCCACGTCTTGGGTCACGTGCCCAGAAGGGGTTGCCTGCGATGGGGTTTGTTTGCTTTGAGTGGTGGGACGATTTGGTTTTCTTCCTCTGACTTAAAATATATAACTTTCTCCAGTTGAAATATATGGTTTTATAATTTTTAAGTTTTCTTTAAAATTCATTTTTAAAAAATTGCTCTGCAGGAAAGGTGGTTGTTCTTCATGCCTCTGGACTACGTGGCATGAAGAAAAACGTGTTTAGAGTAACTTCTGAGTTGAGAACCGGGAGTAACAGTAACTTGTGGCCTTGGGCCTTGCCTGCTCCTGATATCGGCTGTTCCCTAAGGGTGTACCGCCCCCCGGCCTTGTCTCACTGAGATGTGCTGCCCCCAGGGCTCCATGACTTTGTTACAGTTGGAGAAGTCTAGTCCCGGAAGGACAGGTCTGACGGGAAGATGGGAAGGATCTACTTCTTCCTCTTTCTTGGTAAAGCCTCTCAGTGCCTAGAAGTAGATCTAGCAGTAGGAACCAGGGGAGTTATGAGAATCTAAGCCTACTTGCTGGGACTGACCTCGGAGTCGTAAGGCAGTGTTTTTCCTTGTTTTTGTAGGAAAGAACAGCAGTGTTTCAAGAATTCTCACATTCCAAGACAGGCGTCCTTCTCTGTACGGTATGTACCCCTCTGCACTCCACGGGGAGGCCAGGACCCCCTGCCTTTCCTCTTGCCAGGTTGCCTCGCGGCCAGCCCCACAGGGATCCGGGCTGGCAGGGGCTTCTGGGTGTGGCGGGTCGCCTTGCACTTCTGGTGTGTCACCTGACTGTGCCACCATGCAGAAGTCATGCCGATTTGCTCACTAATAGTGGCAGCTGTTGGTCTGAAAATGTGTGAATCTGGGCGATTTCTATCCACCAAAAACGTGTAAATTACAGCTATCGGGAGTAATTAGAGCTGAGAAAGTCTCTTCGCAACAGAACCACTCTCCTTGCCTCTGCTCGCCTTTTTTAAAAGGAAAATAGATGTGCTTGGACAGATTTTCTTTGCTGCTGTCTAAAACTATTATTTGTATTATTTGCCCTGCAGTTTTTGGGGCCAGGTCACTCAGCCTCAGTCCTGGCGGGCTCGCGTGGCCGCCGCCTGCAGCGCAGAGCTGGCCTCTTGGATGGCCTCTCGCGTGCTCTTTTGAGATTGAAAACTCACACCTTCGGTGCCCGCTTCTCTGGGGATTCACTTCACCATGGTTGTCGCCAGCTCCCAAGATTAAAGTATCTTCCCTCCTGGTGCCATCTTGGATGGTATAACTTAACCCCCACCTGGGTATCTGAGAAATCCCTGTCCACACAGTCCTGAAGTTGCACTGAAACCGGGTCATCCAGTGGGCGAGTGCCGGGCAGAACAGACTGTTGGCTGTTGTCTAGGCCTCACTTTTTCATGCAGTTACTTTTTTTTTTTTTTAAGATTTTGTTTGTTTATTTGACAGAGAGATAGAGCACAAGCAGGGGGAGTGATAGCAGAGGCAGAGGGGGGAAGCAGGCTCCCTGCAAAGCAGGGGGAGCCCGATGCGGGACTCGATCCCAGGACTCTGGGATCATGACCGGAGCCAAAGGCAGACGCTTAACCGACTGAGCCACCCAGGCGCCCATGCAGTTACATTTTAAGGAACCCCTGGTCTGCATTCAGTTTTCAAGGTAACAGGCATTGTCCTCTTCCCAGATGCAGGGTTTATGAGTGAGTACGGCTTTGTTTCTTCTGCACGAGGTGGCTGTCCAGTCACCCATTTATCACAGGGTGCCAGTTCTCACACGAGTGTGGCAAACCGTGGCTCTGTGACTCAGTTGTGCAGATCTGGGAATGGTCACTACTGGAACGCCTGCCTACTGAGGAAGACCAAGTCTGACCAGGGGCCCTACCCTTTGTGAAGCCCATCTGCAAATCAGACGCTTGTGTTTGCGCTCAACCACCTGTAAAGGCCGGGTCTACGGTGAAGATGAGTCCAGATGATCTGTTTGACAAAGAAATTTGTCAACAATCCTGATCGTGTCCAATAATACTTGCTGGATCCTGACCCCTTCCTGTCTCCTTGGTCTCCACTTTCCCCCCTTGTTCCCTGCCCTCAGCCAGACAGGCTCCTCCTCCTGCTCCCTGAATGAAGCATCCCTCCTTTTTCTGGCCTTGGGGGCCTCGTACATGCATTCCCTCTGCCTGGGAAGCCCGCCCTGACTTGGACTAGCCCCTCCTTAGGCCTCCGCTTCAATTTCAGTTTTTCCGGAAAGTTAACTCCGGGAACCCCAGTTTTTTCCCATTAGGCACTCCCACTGCACCCCGCACTTCTTTATGGCACTCATCACACCTGGTTTTAGGTGTCCTCCCCCCAAGATCATGAGCCCCTAGAGATGGACTGTGTCTTGTCTGCAGTCCCCTGTCAGTGTCTGGCACGGAGCAGGTGTGCATACACACTCAGTATTTGTGGACCGAACGGGTGGATAGTTGGGGCTCAAGAAACGCAGCGCTGAAAACCACCACTATCTGCCTGCCTTTTTCTGAAGACTGAGAGAGGCTAAAGTTATGCTTGCTAGTGGGAATAAATCGTCTTTTTCATACACATGATGTACCTGAGGGGTGAATGTTACAGGTTGTCCATATCGAAACAGGAACAGTAGGAACCTTTGTGTGGGAGTTTAAGACAGGAACAGAATGTTTTATCTTTGACCTTTAAGATGTTGGGTTTGTCCCTGGTGGAATATTTTTAAGTCTCCTGGTGTTTTTTATAGACATGGGTCAGCTCTGGGTCTCAAAGAGGACTCCAGGGATTTGAAGTTCAGTGTTTTGGTTGGTTTTGGTTTTGGTCTTTTTAGTAGGTTTACATGGAAGTAAAGGTCATTCTTTTTTAAAGATAATTCTCAATGGGGTCAGAAGCCCATGACGACTTAACTTGTTTCGTCTGGCTGATACCTACAGACAAAGTGAGGTCATCCAGACAAAGAGCGCCCCTGACTTGGCAGAGAACAGCACCCCCACCCCTCTGCCCCCTGCCAGTCCCGAGTGCCGCACAGAAAGATGACTCTCACTCTCTGATTTCACTATAGGTTCTTGGTGTGTGTTCGCTTGTTGAGGAACCTTCCAGTATGCTGGCCTGCCAGCCCAGCCTCACCTCTTCTTCATTGTGTGGTGAAGATTACTAGGGAAGGGCCAGGGGGTGGAGGGACTCACTTCCGGCCATCTCTAAGCCTGGCTTCGAGCACATGGTCCCTGGTGATGAGGAGCTCTTCATTCACCCTCTCCGAATTCCTGCTGGCTCTGCCATTTTCATTTGCTTCAGCCTGAAGCTTCTGGTGCCCAAGAGCTGTAGGCACAGGAGACCCGCTGCAGTAGATCATGGCTAGGTTGGGGAGATGCTGTCACTCTGTGTCCTTTTAAGCAGCCTGTTGCTTGCCAGGCCCTCTGCATGCTCTCCAGGAGCCTCCGTAGTGTTAATGAGGAACGGGGGCCACGTCAGGACAAGGCAGATGGAGAACCGGCTTCTTTCGGTAAAGAGGAATCCTGTTGTTAATTGTGGCAGGGGGATTTTCCCTCCTCTTTATACCATATCTTTTGCCATTTTGATTTCTCATCCCAAGATCTTTTAATGAGCTCAGGAGACTGAACGTCTGTGTGAGAAGTTGGGAACTGTGGCGGAACCAGTCAGAAACTCCCAGTGCTGCTAGTTACTGGGAAAATCCCTCCCCCGATCCATTTTCCTCCCTGCCGACATTTCTGCTATTAGGAGCAGTTAAGGATGTGTGTGTGTGTGTGTGTGTGTGTGTGTGTTTCTTTCATCTTAATTATGAACATCTTAAAGCAAGGACCTTTCTAATTTTTTTTTTTTTTAAGATTTTATTTATTTGCGAGAGAGACAGAGAGCATGAGAGGGAGGAGGGTCAGAGGGAGAAGCAGACTCCCTGCTGAGCAGGGAGCCTGATGTGGGACTCGATCCCGGGACTCCAGGATCATGACCTGAGCCGAAGGCAGTCGCTTAACCAACTGAGCCACCCAGGCGCCCTGGGACCTTTCTAATTTTATGCAGCCGTTCAGGACCTGGTACCTGACTGTGTGTACTGTGGGTTCTCAGTAACTGTGTGAGGCCATGCCGGTGTGAAGCGTAGGCCAAAGTGAGAGGCCAGGCCGGGCAGGAGAGACCAGTTTGGAAAGAGCGGTCCTTACTAAACATTCGAAATGTAAGTTTGTGTGCTCCGGAGAAGTAGATCGAAGAAGCAGCCAAGTCAAGAAGGGAGTAGGGATTAGCAGGAAGGAGCCGTTTGAAAGTTCAAAACCCACTTTCCTAAATGGAATAAAGAAATCAAGGGAATCAGGAGATATTGGGTTACCTACAAAATACTTCCTCCTGCTTCTGGTGAAGAACTCACCCTCAGCCAAAGGACGGGAAAGTTGGGTTTCAACACCACTGTTACGTGGATGAGTTGGTAGAGGGAAGTACCACGGAGTGACTGAAAAATGATATTCTTGAGCCGTCTGCGGTCGTAAGGCCGACACTGGGCTTTCTCTTGTACACGTGGCGCTCCCTGCTCGTCCCCGGATAAACAGAGCGCGGTAACCTTTCTCCCGGCACGCAGGGGCACTCCCACTCCCCTTGGTCTGCTGGCCGGTTCTCCGTTGGACTGCATCTCGGTTGGCCTTCCAGCATGGGCTTTCTTTCCGAAGAGACACCTGAATCACCTGTGCTGCTGCTTTTCTCCACCTTCTCAGTTGTTTTTTTGTCTTGAAGCACACTGTTATGTCTGTGCAGTTCTTAATTTCCCTCCTCCTGGGGAATTTCCACTGTGCCAGGAGGCTGGGAGACAAAGGAGGCCAGGAGGTGAGACCGTGAGAGTCACGGGAACGTCAGTTCACCACTGACAATAAATGTAGACTTTGTTGGTTTTCTCTGGGGCGTGCTTTTGAGGTAAAGTTTCTCTTTTCCACTTTATTTCATTCGTGTTAATGGCAAGATCATTTGGAGATGGTCGGCTGTTTACTCAGTTACGCTAACTCATGTTGCCAGTTTTTTGGCGGCTCCAGCCAAGATCTCTCGCCTCTGACAGCTTCTGCACTCTCTCCTTCCTCCTCTGATTACGCAGCCCAATCTGTCACCCGGACAACGGGGGCCTGTACCCTGCTGATGGCTTTCCACACACGGCAATAATGACTTTTGGCAGGCCGGGGAGGCGGCAGAGGCGAATTTGCTGCGTCCCTTGCTCAGAGAGCCGGCAGGCCCCCTCTCCCTGTTAGTAAAAGCACTTTGTGAGGTTCTTGGGTAAATAAATGAGTCATTTTAATCCAACTGACAGGCTGGCACCTGAGCAAGCTGCCTTCCATCTGTACTCCTTGGTCTCATGGAGGCAGCCAATTGTCAAGCCCTGGGCCTTCAAGGCCTCACCGTTGAGTGTCTTTCAGAACTGACTTTAGCAATTCTTTTGCCCTAATTAGCTCAAAGGAATACAGTTGGGCTGGGTCTAAGTTCTAAGAGGGCAGAGAACCGAAGCCTTTGCTGAGACTTGGGCAGGTCAGTTTCCTGTCGATCCCGTGCTGCTGGCTGGTGGTGTTCTGGAGGATGGAGCAGACCCCGGCTTCTCTGCAGTCCTCTGCCCCGGTTGGGTGGTGGGTGTGAGGAGAATCACACCACTGCCTAATCGCCACTGTGCTGATTCCTACTTCGTCATGGAAGGAAATCCTTGGATTTGTAATTCTCAGTGCACTTCCACATGCCTAGTCTTGTTTGGTCTTCACAGCAACCTCATGAGATAAATAGGGTGAATCTTATAGCCATTGTATAGGTGGGTAAACTGAGGGTCAGGGAGGTGCGTTGACTTGCCCGGATGGTATGGCTGTAGAGGGATAGTGGAGTCCAGTTCTCTCTGTTCCTAGACCCTGAAGGTTATCCCTTTGTCTCATTGTCTGTGGTAGCCTAGGCTGAGAATAGGAAGGAGGACTTGCAGAAATGGCCGGGTGAAGCCTGAGCAGGGGTGGCTGTCAGTGAGGGTCCCCCACCCCAAGACAAGAAGTGGTGGGAGGTGGGAAGATGGTGTCTCGGCCAGTCCCCCGGACCCAGATCACCCAAGCAGAAAATAGAACCGCGAACGGTCCCATGAAGGCTGCTGGCATTCTTCCTTACTGTGGCTGAAAGTGTGCTCAGTGAGTTCCACGAACGTCATATGCTATTTTAGAGTTTCATTTGTGTTTCTTGGTTGAATTTACTAAACCGATGAGCATTAAATTTTTTACAAAGCCTGTCTGTAAAGCTCAGACAGCCCATTGTCTACATGCATCTCCCACTGCAGAGCGCTTAAATAAAATAAATCACTTCTTAACAAGAGCTTAGCAGATTTAAGAACCCGTCAGTTTTTCTAAAGACATCAACTGTGGTTAGTGTAGAAAGCAGTGCCTGCTCCCCTTTAAGACAGAGAACTCTCTAAATTGTGTTCTCAAAGGCATCAGCTCTGGAACATCAACCTTCAGTTTTCCGGGCAATGGGAGCTGTCTGAAAACACTTCGTGGGTGGTTGACACACTTAGTACATTAAACTCCCACTTAACACTTACTAAATGCAGCCTAGCCACCGTTCAGAGGAAACCCGCCAGCTCAGGTGTAGTCGGAGCGAAGGCAGACAAATCCCAGCCTGCCCTCAGTGGCCCCTCCCAGTGGGTTAGATGCTGGCGGGCCAGTGTCCTCCTCGGCTCCCACCCCTGACTCTGGGCAACACGGGGCGCGGGCGTCTCAGCGTGCTTCCTGCAGAGACTTTGCGCAGGGTTATTGTTCTCCCGGAAAGCTCTCTGCATGCAAAGTAAGGGGAGAGAAAGGCGAGCTGTGCTTTACGGAAAAACGCCAACTATTAAATGGAAGAAGGGAATGACAGACTTCGGAAGCCGTCCACTTGCTGCCACCAGGGCAACCGTTGGTGCAGACGGGCAGCGTCAGGCGACGCTAAGGCCTCTGGGCAAAAGGTTTTGGGAAACAGTCTCAAAGTTTCACTCCCCAGTTTACTGATTAGTTACGAAGGAGAAGGGTCCCTTCACCTGGATGCCACTTCCTCGGGGGATCGTGCACAGCTCCCCACAGTGCGGGCCAGGCTGCCCTCGGGCTCTCCTGGCGTCAGGTACTGGGAAGCACACCCCCCGGAAAGCTCCCCCGGAATCTTACCACGAGGACACAGTTAGACAAACACAAGATTCTGGGACGTCCTTCAAGATGCCTGGACTCCTTCACAATTGAGTTGTCAAAAAACTAAATAAATATTAAGGGCAGGGATATCATTCTAGATTATGGAAGTCTAGAGGGATATAATAAAAACAGAATGCATGATGGGCGCCTGGGTGGCTCAGTTGGTTAAGTGACTGCCTTTGGCTCAGGTCATGATCCTGGAGTCCCAGGATCGAGTCCCGCATCGGGCTCCCTGCTCGGCAGGGAGTCTGCTTCGCCCTCTGATCCTCCCCCATCTCATGTGCTCTCTCTCTCTCATTCTCTCTCTCTCAGATAAATAAATAAAATCTTAAAAAAAAAAAAATGCATGATCTGTGAGTCATTCCTGAGTTGGGCAATAAAAACATCTATAAAAGTCAATCTTAGGTGCAGTTGGAGAGATTTGAATATGAGGTGATTATTAGAAAATAATGTTATTTGGGGCGCCTGGGTGGCTCAGTCGGTGAAGCGTCTGCCTTCAGCTCAGGTCATGATCCCGGGGTCCTGGGATCAAGCCCCGCATCGGGCTCCCTGCTCAGCGGGGAGCCTGCTTCTCCATCTCCTTCTGCCTGCAGCTCCCCCTGCACGCACGCACGCATGCGTGCGCTCTCTCTGTCAAATAAATAAAATCTTTTAAAAAAAGTTATTTAATATTAAATTTCTTAGGTATGATGCTGGTATTGTGTTTGTGAGGAAGAATGTCCTTTTACTTAGGAGAGACATGTGAAAGTAGTTAGGAATAAAACATGGTATTTGCAACTTACTTTCGGATGGCTCAGAAAACGTGTAGAGAGAGAAAAAAAGCAGATGTGCAAAGATTAGCGGTTGATGAATCTAGATGAAGGATACACGAGTGCTCATTGTAATATTCTTCCAGCTTTTCTGTTTAATTTTTTCTAGATAAAAATTTGGGAGGAAATACTAAGCATTCATTGAGAGAAAAAGCAAACAACAGAGGAAAACACAAAGAGAAACATAAAAATCACCTTAATCCCTCTCCCCGAAGATAACCACAGGTGATAGTTCTGGTGAGCCTCCTTCCAGGCGTAGGCTCCCTGGCAATCTCTCCATTCCTCTCTCTCCATTTATCCATCTACCCATTTCATGTCTCATTTTTGGTACCCTCTTTTTTTTTCCTTGAATTTTTTTCTGGAAGAAACCAGACTGTCCCTGCTTTAGAATACTCCACATTCAGGATTTGACTTCTTTGGTTGGGCCAGTGTGCTCCTCCCTCCCCTGCACTTCCTGTAAACTAGGAGCTGGGGCTGCGCACCTGGTTAGATCTGCTTTTGTTTTGGGCAAGAATACACCACAGGTGACACTCCATACTTCCTGTGGCGTGACAGCTCCTTGTCTTTCTAGTTATGTCAAAACATTTACGTTGTTTCACAGTCAAGATTATCAGAGTCTCTTCAAGGAAGTCCAGCTTCCACCCTTGTCTGCCACCCCCGATCCCTTCCCCTGCAGGTCACTTTTTGCGAGCTTTTGGCTTTTCTCGTCCATTATTTCTTTTTGAAATACGAGCAGATATATTTGTATTTCCCTCATTTCTCACACAAAAGCCTACTCTGCACACCCAGAACAGATCGTAGAGATTCTCCATGTCTGCACTGGCACTTCCCTCCTGTCTCAGCTGTAGGACGCTCTGCTGAAGGAGGTCAGTACAGCCGTCTTTTAGTCCACCTGTCTCCTGCCAGACACTGGGGCTTTTTCTACACCTGCAATTACAGATTTTGCTGAAATGAGTAGCTTTGTGCATGCAGCATGTTGTATTTTTTGCCAGTGTGTCTTTGGGATGGATTTCTAGGAGTGAGATTGCATCTGGGTCAGAGGGCAAGTGCATATGTAATTTTGCTGCATACCACCAAATTTCCTACTTAGGGTTTTATACTATTTTGCATTCCCACCAGCATCTTATGAGGGGTGCAGCCTCTTTTTCGATGGTGGAACAGCATAATATGGCCTTGGAAAAGTAAGAGGGACCTGGATTTGAGGGCTGTCTCTAGCTGTGTGTCTCTGGACAGGTTACCTAATCTGTCCGAACCTTGGTTTCCCATCCATCAAATGGGAGTAATCGTTGTTCTGTGGAGTTATTTGGAAGATCACTTGAGATGCAACCATCGGGTGAAGTGGTACAGTGTCTGGTGTATAGTAAGTGCTCAGGAAATGTTGACTAGGGATATTCTCATTATGACTGTCGTGCTTGAACATGAATGCCCAGCGTCAGTTTATCCCCGACAACCGAAAGGTACCCATTCTCGAGTCCCTGCCAGAATGGTCAGACAGACACTAGAGAGCAGAGAGCCTTTGCTTTTTGGGTGACAACCAGCTGCAAAGAAATGTATCTCCTTTGCTTTTGCAGTTTTTATGTGTGGTTGATTAAGTCTCTGGCTGGTGGTGTAATTTAACTGTCTGAAGAGGTGGGACATTACTTGATCTTTACAGCTACCTGAGGTTGATAAGTCCTCCGTAAAGACTTTGCACCTCACCTCCACAAGGGAATACTTTGGGGTGATCTTCCAGACGCACGTCTCAAAGCCATATCGCTGTTAGGCATTGCTGATAGGGAAGGGGTGGGGGTAATAGCCCATGAATGCATTGATCATAGAGTGGTTCTTCAGAGAAAATGTAAAAGTAATAATACATACTAGAAATTTTCATAGTTGTTACGTGATGCAACTGATAATGACTTCAGTTCTTGGGCTAACAGTTTATGTTCTAGTAGAGTGGGTGGTGACAGCCTCACCAACACATTCTGCAGGACTTACCCCCAAGGTAGAATTTTCAAGCACAGATGGACTTCAGTGGGTCCCTGAAGTTGTATGCCGGCGCGTGCGTGTGCGTGTGCATGCGTGCGTGTATGCGTGCGTGCACATGTGTACGTGTGTGCACGTGTACCTGCCTGTGCACACTGGGGGGTGGTGAGCCCTCATACTTTGCATTAGATTATCAGGTGGATCCATGACCCAAAAAAGGTTCAGAAACTCAGTCTTAAGCCATATTCTTTTCTGTTTTGAAGGATGTTGCAGCTCGGGGCTTAGATCTCCCTCAAGTCACGTGGATTGTTCAGGTAATTTTTTAGTTGTTAAGGTGTGAGCTCCATGCAGGAATATATGACTGTGAGTAGATGCCTTGGCTTTAAGTGGAATAATTATTATTAGCCTCTTGGGTGTTGCCCTGGTAACTAGGCAGCAACCAGCCTTACCTGCACTATTCTCCTGGTATCTTTCCCTAACCCAGCCCACCTAGCTGCTGCAGGGAAACAGCCAGGCTGAGCAGTTGTGGGAGGGAGGGGCAGGCTCCCCTGCTCCCAGACAAATGCATGTCACACACAAAGTTTCAGCAATCTGAAAATAAGAGGAATTACCAGGGCCCTTGGGAGGTCTCATTGTGTCCAGAAGGAGATGGCTCAGCTGTCCTGAGAGCCGTGTCCATGTACATTGACCTGCAGGGGGCAATTAAGTCCCTGACAGCATCTTACACATACCTCTAGCCTTAGACGCTTTGCCAGAGGGTACAGGTGTTAACACTAGAGTCTGCTGGTTTCAGTTTTGTTTTTTCTTTTCGTTAGTCTGCAGAATGGTAGTTTTAAGCCCTTATGTGTGAGGGCCAGGGGACATGTGCCCCATTTATGTGAGTCATGGTTTATTCACATTTTAGTGGAATTGCATGCCTGTCACTGGCTAGGAAATTTGATCTGCTCACTGCAGAAGGCCACTTTTCGACTAGAGGCATTGAGTCTTCTTTCCTGATGGCCACGGAGCAAAGTAAAGATAAAAAGGCAGGATAATCTTAATATGGGGGGGCGGGGGCAGACACATAAAATTGGTTGTTCAGAGCTTTTCTGTATCATCAGATTGATTAGATTCGTGTGCCTGCCCCTCCCCTATACATTCTATTCCTTTTGGGCCTCTGATCTTTGAGTCGTGTAGCAGCAGAGAACAAAAAGGAAGAATGGTTAGATGGTCAATTCCTTTTCATGGTGATGAAGTTATTGCCATAGAGAATATGCAATAATGCATTCTGCTGAGTTAGAGTCTGCCTTTTCCCTCGAGTCAGGAATGCTGTCCTTAGGAGCAGAAGCAAGTCCCTGTGGGAGGGGAACTGGCCTCTCAGCTGCCCCACAGCTCTGTGCCATTGGGATTGAGTGGGAGTGCAGTGAGGTGCTGGGGACCAGCTCTTGGCGGCCTGGCAGCTAGAGTGAAGTCTGATCAGAGCAGCCGGCCCCTTCCTCCTGACCCCGTCCAGTCCTCTGTGTCCTCCGCCTCATTGCTGTGTCTGCCACGGAAGCAGGCCACGGTCACGCGGCCATCCTACAGAAGGGTGCCCCTGCCTGCCTCCAGCTTAACCTTGCACGGTCACCACGGTGAAAAGATGCGGATAGGAAAATGAAGAGACCTGTGGAGAAGTAAAATTACAAAGGAGGTACTGGGACGGGAAGGCAGCTCACTCATCGGAAACTTGGCCGCTGTTCATGTTTGTGTGTCAGAGCTTCGTTATTTCCAACTTCAGGGTTGAGTGACTTCTCCTTGGGATTGCGTGAGGGTAACCATAGCACCAGGGTTTAATTCTTGGGATACCTGGAGGCAGGTGAGGGGTATTGCACTTCCAATTAATGGCAGTCCCTTGATCTGTGGGTGCTTCATTTTTGTTACCCTTTGTAGTACAATGCGCCACCTTCACCTGCTGAATACATCCACCGGATCGGGAGAACCGCCCGGATTGGCTGCCATGGGAGCAGCCTGCTCATTTTGGCTCCTTCGGAGGCGGAATATGTCAACTCGCTGGCTTCTCACAAAATCAAGTGAGTCAGAAACCTGAACAGGGTTTCGCCTGATCTCACCTAATTAACTTTCTGTCGCCTTCTACAGTGGATGGGCCTTGTAAGCTGACGAAGAGCCATTAACCCTTGTGATCCCTAAATGAGTCCCAGAATAGCCAGTGGCAGGCAAACACTAAAACCCTTCATGCCGTCAGCACATGACAATTTTCATTGCATTGCCAGACTAAGGCATGGAACGATCTGTTGCTCATGGTTTTTCTGTAAGATAGAGGTCTGTGTTTCATTTTCCTTTCTGTCAGAGATGTGTGCACAGCCCTTACAGCCAGCTGCTTGAAGACCTTTTTTTTTTTTTTTTAAAGATTTTATTTATTTTTTAGAGAGCGAGCGAGCGAGAAACAGCATGAGAGGGGAGAGGGTCAGAGGGAGAAGCAGGCTCCCCGCTGAGCCGGGAGCCCGATGTGGGACTCGATCCCAGGACCCTGGGATCATGACCTGAGCCGAAGGCAGACGCTTAACCATCTGAGCCACCCAGGCGCCCTTGAAGACCTTTTTTATTCAGTTTTTATTTTTACACACTCAACATTTTGTATCTTTAAAGATGATTTGTCTTTGAAAAAAATAACATTTTTGATTCATCACACAGCACCCCCTCCCAAATAAACCCAGGGAAGAAACCTTTTTGGGCAGCCGGGGCTGTGCGGCCACCATCTTGCACGCCCACCACCCCGAGCGAGGCCCCCGCTCCAGCCCTGGCCCGCCAGCTCGACAACCGCGGGCCAGAGCAGTGGGGAGGGCCTCCAGCGGGCCCAGACCTCGCCCAGGAAGGACAAGTGAAGCAGAGACAGAGAAGAGCGTCTCAACCTGGCCGGGAGCAAATGTAATGGAAGCAGAAAGAACTCACCTGGGTCACAGAAATGAATGTTTTGTCATGTTTTCCATACAAGCTCCGGCAGCTGAGGTAACAGGCGCTTAATAATGGGCTGCTGAAGGCATGTGGTTTTTCACAGTGGTCTACTTGCAAGAATTTCTTCTGCTCAGACATAGCACAGTGATATGGAAAGTGTTTTTGGAGGCACGGAAGAGTCCTGTGCGTGTGCCCAGGAGGGTGGGACAGGAATCCTGCCGCGCACAGGAGCCTGGAGGGCTGCCCTGCTGCTTGGAACCGACACTGTGAGGCTGGCGCATGACTCCGCCGTACGCCTGCGCCCGAGGGCCTCGTCTGCTGGTGCTTTGCCTTGCCCAGCCCAGTGGTTTATGTAAAGCATCAAAGAAAGTGATGAGACATTTTCTCTAAAGTATAGAGCTGGCAGAATCATTGCGTTCTGCACCTGCACTGAAATTTCCAGACAGGTGGCGTGGGACCTGGTCTGGGGACCAAGTGCAGGCCACCCACACGAGAGCTGCCTGTGACCGTCCCCACCAGCCCACCATTGTTCCTACCTGCAGAGCTGTCCCTCTCCCTCCTTCCCTGCACCCGGGGCGGACTTCGCAGCACTCAGCAGTTCTGGGGTTGCTCGTGGGAACATCTATGGGCTGTGTACACCCTTCAGTGGTAGGGAGGCAGGACCCCACTCCTGATGAACCTGGTGGCGATTTTGAGCGGGCCCAGCTAATGCTGGTTTGGGTTTTCCTGTCATTTAATACCTTCAAACAACATCACCATTGAAAGAGTGGTTTCTATTGGTTTCAGGAAGACTGCATATTTTATCTCACTTGTAAGAGGACTTCTGGCCCTCAGTTGGTCAATCCCCTTTTACCAAGAGCTTCCTCTCCAGCTGGTTTCCCCAGGCCCTGGGGCTGGCCGATCCTTCTTACGGGCGCTTTCAGGGCCTAGGCTGGTGCTCGCTCGACTGGGCAGCTGGATCCCGGAAACACTGGGGGGTGGATGAAAACCCTCGTAGCCCCTTCTCCCATCTTCCCTTCCGCCGTCCTCATAGGCTGGGAGCCTGTCATGGCGCTGTGACTGTTTTCCTCTGGCAGGGGAACCTGTAGACCTCCAGAAAGTGTTTTCAGAGCCGGGTGTTGTCATCCACGGGAGAACATGTCACTGCGCCTTGGCGGCCTCTTACCCCTCGGCTGTCTTTCCCCCACCTTCTGTTCTAGACCTACAGATTCATGTTCTCCGGGCCTTCCTGTCAGCAGCTCCTGGAGGTTCTCCCGTGCTCATTTGCTTGGACCCGATAGGCTCAGAAAAGTGGGTACCTGCGGTCGTGAGGTCAGGCAATAATTGGCCAGGCCCAAAGTCGTGTGCCCGGGTGCCTCTGCCTCTCTCCCGCTCTCAAGCTTTCTTTAATAAATGCATTCAGGTGATGGCTATGAAAGGTTCAAATGTAAACCTAAACTCAGGGGAGAATAATAGTTGGCCCCAACCTGAATTATTAGCGAGCCACGTGTATTTTAAAGATATAAGAAGTACACTCGTTGTCTGTGACGGTCTCCTCTGGAAAAAACTGTGCCAGCACTGTTTGTGGGCAATCCAACACAACCAAGTGCACGTTCGGGAAACAGCTCCATAATCCAGGGATTCTCAGATTTGGACTTGCAGGGGAAGTTCAGAAAGATGAAGACAGAAGTACCCAGAGGAAGAGAGTCAGGTCTTTTGTGGAGAGAACATCCATTCAAGGGAGGAAGAGTCCTGGAGGGGTCCAGCCTCACTCGTTTTCTGCCCTGAAAACGTACCCACTGAACTTTGTGCCCCTGATCCACTGACTGCTTTGTGGGCCTGAGGTAATCAATACCACCCCCCTCCCAGCCCTGAAATACCAGATTGACGTTATGTTGTAGCCTTGGATCATGCTTTCTGATTTCTGAGGAAGGGCTGGATGTTGGGTATCTTTTTTTTTTTTTTTTTTAAGATTTTATTTATTTGCGAGAGAGAGAATGAGAGACAGAGAGCATGAGAGGGAGGAGGGTCAGAGGGAGAAGCAGACTCCCTGCTGAGCAGGGAGCCTGACGTGGGACTCGATCCCAGGACTCCGGGATCATGACCTGAGCCGAAAGCAGTCGCTTAACCAACTGAGCCACCCAGGCGCCCCTGGTTGTTGGGTATCTTGACTTAACACCAAAATATTATACCTAAGAAGACCTGATTACAAAGTGTGCCGTGGAAAGAAGCAGACTTGAACATTTTTGGAATACAAAAGGTACACTGCTAAGTAGTAAAAACAAAACAAAACCAACAACAACAAAAAACAGAGAGAAGGAAGGTGTGTGTGTGTGTGTGTGTGTGGAAGGTGTGTGTGTGTGTGTGGAAGGTTGTGTGTGTGTGTGTATGTGTCGTGCGTAAAGAACCTGGGAGCCAGGCAGCAGGATGCTGGGACGGCTGATGAACTAGAGGAGATATTCAGGAAGGCAGGCCGAGGCTCGAGGCAGCAAGGGCCATCACAACAAATTGCTGCCTGCCCTCGTACACCGAGCACCGTGGAACGCGCCCTGACAGTGTAATTTAGCAGCAGGGGCAAGAGACAGGCGCCCTGGGCCATTGCCACCTCTCTCTAAACGCTCGGACTTTGTTTCTGCATCCTTCTGACTTCCTGGTGTTTGCCAACTTCTTCCCTGTTTTCCACTTCTCCTTTAAATGTGTTTCTAATGAAAGTCGTCATGGGTTTATTAAAATGTAAATGCTTCATCAAAAAGTGTATTTCTTAGATCAGGTATGAGACAGTTCCCTGAATTTATTTATCTGTCTCTTTTCATAGGAAGGCAGGGTGATTCAAATCTGTTGATAGAACCATAAACAAGCAGAGTAGATTGGCTTTGTTCCTCGAAAGCAGCGATGTCTTAGAATAGGAGGAAGGCCCTTTTAAACTGTAAATCACTCCAGTCCATTCTCGGCTCCTGTTCACTTACGGTGCCTGGTCGCCCAGTGCTGTCACGTGGACGCACACAGCGGGGCTGAGCCCTGGCCGCAGTGTCCACACCACCCTGCCTGTCAGAACACGGTGCCTCTCGGTGGTGTGTTCAGTTCTTTGTATCCCCGACTCTTAATGGCCTTATTCTTTGTTTCCTTCTCCCTGCTTCCAGATCTCACCCCCAAGTCCTTATATTCCTTTTACTTTTCCTTTTTTTCTCTCAAGAGAAAAGGTGATGAAGAGGAGCAAGTCCGTTAGACAAAAAGATAGGCCTGGGCTGTGTTTTCACCTTCAGATTTCCAGGCATAAACAAGAGGCAAACTCAGCAGCCGCAGCTTTTCTCTCTCATATGAAAAATAGATTTTCCATGAAATCATGAGCCCTTTCCTCCAAACTGCTACCCTCGCAGTACATGCTCTGCCTTCTCCGGTTGACTCCTCCTGCTGTAAAAAGATTTCACGTATCCATGGGGCTGGGAGCTGGCAGCAGAGGAAGAGAATGTGGAGGGGCGGGGGCTGGGGGTGTTAAGGGAAGCGGTGACACATTTCAGGTAAATCGCTGTCAGAGACGTGACATTTTCATTCATAGCTTTGTCAGAGTAACCTTTGGGGGAAAGGGGGAGAATTGTCTTCTCCCACATGAGAGGTTGCCATTCATGTATTAATTTGCTGTTACATTAAAAAAAAAAAAAAAAGGAAAGAAACAACATACAAGGAAATCATTTATCTTTTTATGATCTGTTTTTCTCCCCAGAACTCCTCCTTCCCTTTTTTTTTTTCCTTCTCCCTGGGAAGTATGTTTTCTGCAGCTCCCGCTTCTTCCTTAGGCTCTAATACTTGAATCTGCATGCACCTCCCGTGCTTGAATGCCGTGGCCTTGCAGGACGTGGGGGACGCGGGGGACGCGGGGGATGCGGAGGCTTCCCTGCCCCGCCACGAGGCAGGGTGGGCCTCTTCTTCTGGCTCAGCATGGCTTCTGCTCACAAGTGAAGCCCAAATTCTGATCTCAGCTGTTTTTACATAGCTCTGGATTCTTCAGAGGTCATTTGTCCCTCACCCCTTACTAATTAAGAGGCAAGAGGGTAGACACCCTTCTGGGTGGAAGAGAAGAGGGGTTTGGTGCTGTGGTCACTTGTCAGCCTTCCCTGAGGAGTTGACCCCAACAGTTAAGGATCTTTGGCCACCCCGCCCCACCCCCCACTTCTTTTAAGTATAAAAGTAAAGGGACTATCCGAAATGTTTTTTTATTTCTTCATCTGCTCAAGTCAAAGTAGTCCATGAATAAGCAGGCCTCCTTGTTTAGTATTTGAGATGTGTTAAGAAATAATGACGCGATCCCTACAGAGGAGAGTCTAAATGTAGCCTGTTTGAAAGTCACCAGAGAGGATAGAGAGCGTTGGGATTATGACCCCATCTGTCCCTGTCGCGTCATAGAGGTCCCTTCCTTCCAAACTCCTTCTAAAGGTTTAGGAAGCTATTTCCTGTAAAGGTGTAGCTTCTACTTTATATCTAATTAGTGAGAACAGGCCAGTTTTATGCATCAAGATTCCAGATGTTGGAAAAATAAGAAGTTTACCTTGATACGCCCTTCCTTTTACAGCGTTTCTGAGATTAAGATGGAAGATATTTTGTCTGTTCTGACAAGGGATGATTGTTTTAAAGGGAGCCGATGGGGAAGCCAGGTGAGTTTATTATTATGCTTGCTCGAACAGACGTGACTGATTTCTTGATTTGGGGTGGTGGAGACTTTGTGTGGGGGATAGTTTGTTCCTCTGTCCAGCAGGCGTCTATCTAAGGGACTGTGAACATTAGATGAGGCCAAACCTTGATTGTATTTTTCTCTCTCTTTGCTTCCGGTTGTGTTTGCTAGTCTCATCCGGTTAATGGGCTGCTGTCCATTCTGGAAGTCCGCCAGGCCACAGCAGGCTTCCCAGAAAGGGGGTCTCCTCCCGGCCCAGAGTGAGTTTGGAGGCAGTGTTACATGCTCAGCCCTGGTGGTCCCTGTCCAGATCATCAGCAAGGACGACTGGCTGGACCCATCCACCCAAGACAGCATGGAAGAAATAGATCTCTCTTTGTCTCCTTTCAGACACACTTAGTTCATCTATTTTTTAGTGTGAGTGCCATACACGGAAGAAGAGTAAAGGTTGAGATCATTAGGGGGAAAAATCTGTGTTATCCATGCAGTTCCAAATGGAGATCTGGAGCATCCTTTCCTGCTTCTTTTCTGCCAGGCAGTCGTCCCCCCGCCCCACTCCAACCCATGACTCGGTACGTCACAGATACGTGTGTATAATGTTGCTGAATGCAGTTTTGTCTATGAAATATTAATTATTTGAATATTTTACATTTGTTTTCTCAAGCCTAAGGATAGACTGGAAAATTAGAGCCGAATAGATCAGGCTGAAGAGTTGAGGTGAGATTTGGTCAGTGAATGCTAGCACAAGCAAGCAAGAGAAACAGTTAAAAGACTCAGTTGATCAACAGTTGTTTTAAGCAATATTTTGTTATGAAACATCCCATATTAATAGTTCATTGTCAAGGGAGCGGACCGGTACCCAACCATTCATTGGTCGTTGCACGCTTCTTAAGCTACTTCTAGGTAGGGTTTTTTCCTGTTCCCCTGGACACTTAATTACAGGCCCAGGACAGCATGGGGGAGGCAGGGGGGCCGTTCCTGCGGGCAGCAGAGCAGAGCAGTTAAGGGCACGGCCTCAGGGTCGGAGTCCTAATCTCATTTACCAGCTCCGCGGCTCCGGGCAAGTACTGGAGCTTCCTAAGCCTTGGTTTCTTCATATGTCAAATTGAGGTCACGTTAGTATTCTTCTGGTTAGGAGATTGGAGGATTGAGTAAGAAAGAACCTGGAAACCCCAACACAGTTCTGAAGGGTGTTTATCGTCATCATCAGTTAGTAGCAGATGTGGAATTCAAAGTTCAGACTCAGTGACACAAAGCCGAGTGCTTTCTGCTGTGTCACCTGGAACATTAGCATCTGCCTGCTCTCCAGAAATAAGAGCAAGCAGTCAGGTCACAAAATGAGACTGTAAAGGTTCAGTCCAATCTCATCTTTACTTACACTGTTTCTGGGACCGGCTCTGTTGTTGATGTTTGTCCCTGAACCGGGCACACATCAGTTCTGTCCAGGGAGCTGATCGTCGAGGTCATCTGTGGCTGGAGACCCTGCTGCGGACGTTCCCCCGGGGAGGGGGCAGAGCAGCTCCAGTGCCCTCTGCTCTTCCAGGAGCAAGCCACGGCCATTTCTCCACCTCTGCCCTCCGGTGGCCTTGCTCTTGCTCGGCTCTTCCCCTCCACTCCCCCACCCCCAGCCCCAAACCCCATAAGTCCCTTCCTGGGTGTGAGGCCAGCCTTGAACACTTGCTGAGGCCCTGAGGCAGGCAGACTTGGGTTTCAGTCCCTGCTGGTGGTTCTACAACCTTGGGCAGGTTGTCTTCTCTCCAGCCTCAGTGTTCCCATCTGTAAACTGAGAACAAGGGTGCTCATCTTGAAGGTTGCTGTGAGGTTGACCTAAAATGAGGCAGAAAATACTCCATGCACTTCTGGGCCATGTTAATTTGTTCCAGCCCCAAGCTCCTGCTTTGGTAGAGAGGGACAAATAGAATATATATATATTTTAAAGATTTTATTTATTTGACAGAGAGATAGCGAGAGCAGGAACACAGCAGGGGGAGTGGGAGAGGGAGAAGCAGGCTTCCTGCCAAGCAGG